GAATGCTATTTTTGGATAGCACTAGGCTTTGCAGACCATTTGATTGTCTTATGAAATTGGGGAATTCACTCAAGTTACAAGAAGAAAAGGAAACACGAGTTAGTTTGGGTAATGTGAAGTTGGCATTGACATTCATTCTCAAGGACAGATTATTGTTTGAAAGAAATATGGTTTCCAGATTTTGAAGCGCGGAGAACATGTCAAGTTGTAATAAATCACTAAAATGATTTGATGATAAATCGAGATCTCTAAGATTTCCTAAATTAGCAATTGAGTTAGGAATTGAGCCCTGGAGTTTATTGTTTGACAAATCTAGCCATGTGAGTGAGTTTTGCTGGAATTGATTTATTTGACCTTGAAATTGGTTATGATTGAGATACAAGGCCTCTAACAAAGGTAGGGTGAAAATCCAAGGTGGCAACATGCCAGAAAACTGATTATCGAAAAGGCCAAGAAAGGTAAGTTGGGTGAGGTTTGCAAGTGGTGGTGGGATTTGTCCGCTAAGATTGTTAGAATAGAGGGCTAGGATAGCAAGTTGCCTTAAGTTATCTATGGAAGATGGAATGGGACCAGAAAATTGATTATAGGAAAGGCCAAGAGAGATAAGTTGGGTGAGGTTTGCAAGTGATGATGAAATGGGACCAAAAAACTGATTATAGTCAAGGTCAAGAAAGGTAAGCTGGGTGAGGTTTGCAAGTGATGTTAGGATTTGTCCATTAAAATTGTTAGAAGAGAGGCTTAGGTAACTTAGTTGAGATAAGTTATCTATAGAAGCTGGAATGGGACCAGAAAACTGATTATTGAAAAGGTAAAGAGAGGTAAGTTGGGTGAGGTTTGCAAGTGATGATGGGATTTGTCCGCTAAGATTGTTAGAAGAGAGCCTTAGGTAAGTAAGTTGAGATAAGTTCTCTATGGAAGCTGGAATGGAACCTTCCAAGTTGCAGCCAAGACTCAGATACTGCAATGACTTTAGATCTCCTATAGACTCTGGCAATCGCCTTCCACAATCCATTTCACCTAAATAGAACTGTTGGAGAGGACCGCTCCAATTGGAACTTGGAAGATCAATAGTGAGGTTTCGCTCTCCAAAAGATCCACTTAAATGAAAATTCTTGAGATTTGGAAAGCGGAAAATACTGTTTGGAAAGTTTCCTCTTAACACACTCTCGGAAAGATCAAGAGTAGTCAATGAAGAAGAGAGATTCATGAAGAAACGAGGATTAACAGATGCCATGTTCACTCCACTAAGCACAAGTTCTCTCACCTCACTCAAGTTTTGAACAAGATTTCTGAAGGTAGTTGTTTCAAGGATCAAGTCAGAAGAATCAGCATAAGTGTCATGAGAGAGATCGAGAGAAACTAACTTGTGGAGGTGAGCAATTTCTCTCGGAACATGGCCCGAAAATCGAGAATAAGAGATATCAAGATGCTTTAGTCTAGTAAACTGACTGATTTCTGGTGGAATCTTAGAAAGCCTAAAATCATTGAAGGAAAGATCGAGGCTCTTTAGGTTTTTGAGGAGAAAAAGAGTGTTGTTCGAAGGAAAGGTGCCAGAAAGGCAATCGAAGCTGAGATCAAGGGTAATTACATGACCCGTGACATTATCACAGTTAACCCCATCCCAGGAGCAGCAGTCTATACCTTCCTTCCAAGACTCAATCTTAGAATAATTTTTCCCACAATAACCTAGATACGGAACAGTGTAATTGATGGAGAAGGAAGTCTTGAATTGCAGCAAAGCAAGAGCCTCCTCATGAGAGCAGAGATGCGTTGTTGAGAAGGAAGAAGCATGTATAGAGGATGAGAAGGCAGTTTTAAGACAGAGGAAGAGAAGGCAGTTTTAAGACAGAGGAAGACAAAAACGAGGCACAGTGGTGCAGAGAGCTTTGTGAAGATCCTCATATCTTTGTTTGGCGCAATGTATTACTCCAGAAGAGTATATAGTATATATAGAGTGTTTAAAATTGAGGTATGCTAATAATTGAATATATTCTATCAAAACAAAAATAAATTAATATGGAAAGTAATATTGACGCAGCCGTGGATGTCATTTTTTAATTTATTTTTTATTTTTTTTATTTATTATTTTGAAAGTAAATGGAGTAATTAAGGATTATAATCACATTATTAACAAGTCTTCAAATAATAATTTAAATCTCAATAAAAAATTGTTATTTTTGTTATTTTGTGATATAGATAAGGTATTTTTCTCCCTTAAAAATTAGAATTAATAATTTAAAAAGATTATTTATTTACATTTCTTAACATATATATATAACAAATATTAGTAGATGAATATTAATATTAAAAAATTATTTAATGTAATTTACAATAGAGATCAATGAACCAAAGTTTCTGCTTCTCCACAATCTATCCGGGGAACTTGGCGAAATCAGCGGCTCTCGATAAAAGCCAAGGAGCGAACATCTTGCAACAAAATTGCCGTTTTGCTTTAATTGAGAAGCTGATGGATGAGGAAGCCGAATTGATTGAAGCAAATTCCCAAAGACAGTTTTAAGATACAGGAAGAAAAACGGGAGGCAGAGTGGCGTCAAGAGCTTTGTGAAACCAAACGAAGGCGATCACCAACTTCGACTCAATCAAACAACTCGGCTGGATCTGGGTTTGGTGAACGAACCCAGAGGTCGAAGAGAAAGAAAGAGAAGGAAAGAAGGGAAGAAGATGGGTCGAGAGGGTTAGGGTGAGGGTGATAAAGTTATTTTGTTTATTTTTATTTTTTGTTAAAATATAAATATTTATATGATGTGATATTTTTATTTGTTTATATAATATAATTATAAGATATATTATTGTCACATCTTCAAAAGATTTAAAAGAAAATGTCACGTGAAATTATTTAATAATCAC